CTTTTAAAAAGAATATCTCTTTGGATTTGAGACTTTAGTCTTTGCAACTTTACAGATCTTCTTTATGCACCAAGAGCTTGTAACACTCCAAAGAGAAAGGAAAAATTGAAATCGCATCATATGACCCCTTTAAATGTCGGTCAGATTCTTTGTACAGGGTAAATAGACTTGAAATATATAAGTCATATTGACCACTTTTAAGATGCTTTTGCTTAGTTTTTTAAGCTTGAAAGCTTCAGTCCCCGTTCTATGTAATTACATGGAATAGAGTGACTAAAGCTCAAAGTATGCTTCAGTTTTTATGTGGACAGTAGGGTATGTTTACAGTGCATGTGACGTACATATTATTACCAGCATAATATGTGCAGCCTGATTTTTTATAATTGCACATACTCAATTCCTTAGTTTGCATGTGTACCTTGACATTTTTGCACTAATAGTTAATCCACAAGGTGGCAATGCCTTGGACATGGCCGTTGTTTCACAGATGAAAAAAAAAAGAAAAGATGTTTGCATAATCATGCTTTTTAAAGTTCATTACCAAACATATATTTAGAGATGTTTACATTGCTGTTGATAACATTAAATAAAAAATGTTTTTCATTAGGTTAGATAATGAGTATTAATCACTCAAATCACTTTATCTAAACATCTCTACTTAACCATCTGTCTAGCATATGCGTCATGTTTGTAGTTTTTTAACACTTTTTATTCATGTTTGTAGTTCTAATACGCAATGGGTTGGGTGAAATATTAGCCTTTAGAGTGTCTATGGATCTGCACTTCGTCTTTCCACCGGAAACAGTAAACCAAGTCGTGATACTCATTTCAACATAAATTTCTACTATTTAGAACACAATCATTCTAATATTCTAATAAGTATACCTTGAGCTTAACACATTAGGAACAATGTCTCCTTTTACATTCTTTAAATAAAGTCATACAAGTTTGGATCAACACGAGGGTGAGTGAATAATAACAGAATTTTCATTTATGACTAAACTAACCCTTCAATCTAACATCCACTAAACAGTGGACTACTTACATCTCTGTATCCATGCGGTATGGTTCCCGAAACCTCTCCGAAATCAGTCAGGCATCCAGCAGGACAGAATTTACTGCAAATGCAGGACGGGAATATGAGACACAGACACACATATATGCAAGAACATGAAAACACACACCCCAGACAGCTGTAAACGTGAGTACCTGAACTCCGCTTCACTGAAGTGCTCTCCTTTTTCCAGACAGGTGATGAGGTCTGAAGGATGAGAAAAGAGACACACATTTTCTTTGAACCCTCTTGAAACATATTTACCTCTGTCAGATAAAGCAGCACATCTGATGGTTGCCATGGTGACACTATTGATTAATGCCATCCTTCCACACAAAGATAATACACAGGCATGTATGTATGTATGTGTGTGTGTATGCGTGTGTGTGTGTTATGTGCGCACTGGCCATTCAGTAAGTGGTGTAACAAACTGGTGTATTGCGTTTCATTTTTGTGGATAAAAGCCTCCATCTGAATGAACAGATCAATAATACCAACTAGATTTACATCCGTTACTTTTTCCCTTAGTAAATATGAGTGGTGCTCACCCGTGCAAAACTTCCTGCCACAATGCTGCAATGTGTATGACTGTGTGTGCGCATTTCTGGTTCAAGGTATTTTGTGGTGTTATTGTACCCATTACTCACACCCACAGCATGGATTCATCTGTCTCTTTCCTGACTCATGGGAAATATGATCTCTCTCTCACACACACACAGTCTCGCAGTACTGGGGTAAACAGGTGCAGCTCCCACATGGCAGAGTGAACTCCTGACCTCAGACAGCTCCAGAGGTCAAAGGCCAAATGTCATTGTTAAGACACATCAAACACAGAAGTGCACAGCTGTGATTCCACAGATTTGGAGGCTCAGGATGTGCCATGCTGTACAGAGCACCTTCACAAATGTGCTTACACTGCAGTTTGAAACTTTCCTGCAGCATTTGACATTATTACAAAAATAACTAGTACTTTTTCGTATGCTTTGGGCATTAGAACTAGTTATTTGAACAAACCTCTAATACCACGTCTGCACCGGACACGAGCAGCTATATTATATGCACGCAGATACATTTTTTCTAAACATCTTTTGTACTAATTAGTACTAAAACTGTCCTGGTTTGTGGTTTCACAGTAAAAAAAGAAATGGAACATCTATGTAATTTATATCTATGTAACAAACCATGTCATTTGAGTAACCAGACATAACTGCAACTAAACAAGCAATGCAAATGTATTAATAATAAACTTGTATTTTATTTAGAGGGACATTAGATAGTTATCGAACTCTGTACTAGCTACATTAAACTGTACTGTATGTCTTTTGGTTACTTTTGCATTATTAAGACACTGGACACTCAATTATATGAATTATTTAACAGAAATATTACAAAATAACTGCTTAACTACATTTTACTGTTGAAGATGCTGTCATTTTGAGTGTTACCACACAGTGATGCAGAGGTCAGGTGATACAAGTCAGAGCTTTCAGAAAATTCAAGTTTACAAGTTGTAAGTTGTTTACAAGGATGTGAACACTTTTTATAAGCTGTAACCTTGTAATTATGGTAATTTTACATGCCATGAACACGTATGCATTCATAAGTGTCAAAACTGAAGTATACTTTAGGCGTCTCTAAGTATTTAACAATGCCACGTTTATGTTATGGACATGGATGATCATTTTTAATTATGCAGCATATTTAGCATAGGTATGTTATTACTTAATAGCTATTATTAATAAACTTCTACAAGTTATTTTTGAAATAGTGACACTGATTTTTACTGTAAAGCTGGTTGGAAGCAATTTGTTTTGAATAAAGCGCTATATAAATAACTTTGACTTGACCTTCTAAGCAATCTGACTTGCAATGTAAATCCAACAGACATTGAAGGAATGGCCCGAGCTACAACTTGGGACAAGAATATAGATTTGGTCAAAAAGTGATCACCCAGCAATAGCCCACAACCCTCTAGCAACATGATGTATTTCGAACTCTGTGACATTTTTGTACTGTATGACACAAGAGTCGACAGCCATTACATAATTTCCTCTCATTTTAAATTAATTTAAACTATTGACTCGTCTGTTAAATTAACTGCCTGTCATGCATAAGCTCTCTGGACGCACCCTGGAACCAGGAAAAACCCTAACATCCTTACAGTCAGAAACATACTCCTGAAATAATCTTTGTAATCAGGTTCACATGTCGTCCCTCAGTCTCATCTGAACAAACACACACAGTTACCATAGCAGCTCCTTTATGCATCTTGAGACGCATCCAAGCCTGCTTCAACACTAATTCATCCAAACACAAGCTTTCACACATACAGGACAATAAGTGCACTACCGTTTAAAAGTTCTTTATGAAATCAATACTTTTGTTCAGCAAGGATGTGTTAAATTGATCAAAAGTGACAGTAAAGACATTTATAATGTCACAAAATACTTCTATTTGAAATAAATGCTGTTCTTTTGAACTTTCTATTCACAGATTCCACAATATATATATATATATATATATATATATATATATAT